GTCCAGAAAAGCACTATATAAGTGTAAGCAATTATTATTATTATTATTATTATTATTATTATTAAGAGCTAAACAGTTTCAACCTTTTGCCTTTGACCTTAGGCAGTAAATGATTTGAAGAGACCTAAAGGGTTTCAAATCGTATTCATCCTGAAATCCCACTTTTGCTCAGATCCGCAAATATTTGGAAACTGGACTTGGACTGCATATATATACATACAAGACTGTGGGAGGGCATTTGAGAAAGAAAGGAAACTCTTTTCACATATTTATTTCTGTAGAATTCATAATACTTTTAACCTAGCGTCTTCAGAACATAGAAAAGATAACATCACAGAGGTTTATTTTTTCAGTTACTCTGATTCTGTTTGGCGTTTCCTGAGTTTTCTCATCAAGGCACATACTGTATCTTAAACCGCACATCCTTGCAGTAGAAAGCTCTTCTAAAACCCTGAACAAGCGTCTCAGCCCGCTCTCAGACTGTGCAGATACTTTCATTCCCCAGAACCTTGTCACTTCCAGTTCAGCTCTTGGATATTTAACTGAGCCCCAGTCTTAACTGATGGTTTGCTCGATTGTCCCTCTTGAAAAGTTTTGGAAATGTCATTTAAAGTAAAAAAGAAGTAGTGGAAAACACAAAACACGAACATGTCTCATTAAAAAACTTAACACAAAGAACACAAGAAAGGTTAAAAAAAGGACAGATGGCCATTGACCCTATGTTGTCACCCAGAAATTCCTTGGAAGAGTCCAAGGTATTGGCTGAAGCATTTTGCTGTAGGCCCCTACCACTCTCTGTATAAAGTAGTGCCTCCTCTTATCAGTTCTCCTTAATTTGCTCTTTGTTTCACTGTTGATTCTAAAACATGCCAATAAACTGTTGATTATCTTGAATGCTTGAATGAGGCTGCCTCCTATTTGCGTGAAGATTAAAATGATTCGGTACTTTTAACGTTTAGTGTGTTAATACGCCCAAAGGGACCCAGTGCCAGGAATTCAGCAACACCTTGCAGATTTTCTGCATCACTGGAACATGTCTTGTGGAGGCCGACAGGTTTCTCATATTTTTGGCCACTCAGCATGGTCACATCACTCTCCCATGCAAGGCTGTAGTTTACCTTGGCAACATCATTTTGTTGTTGGATTTCACAAATGAGACATTTTCTCACTTTTCTTTTTTACACTTCTGCTCTATATGCGTTTCTTGTTTTACACTTCCCGTGTCAGCCCAGAGCAAGGCCACACCTCTGAGTCAGCTGTGCCCTTTGTCGAAGGCACGCAGGTATATGTCGTGGTGGCAGTAGTAAAGGACAGACTCTCTCTGGCAGATTGTCGGCCTGGATCCTGGAACCACCAAACACCAGGCCACATTTTTCACCCTGAGCTCCAGTCCTGGCTCATTCACCGGAGCGATTTAAGCCCTGATCCTGAGACACCCCTGTGTCCTCTACCTGAGCCTATACTCATTGAGACCTGCCGATCCATGCTTTTCAGCTTCCTGCATGACCAGACCTGATTCTTCACCTGGTTTTAAGAATGTTGCAGGCGGACTGTGGCGAAGTAATCAAGCTGGACAGGAGGCCAGTGAAAGATGTCCTGACAAACATGGGAAAAACACTCCCGTCAAAAAAATCACTTTGTACTGCTGAGGTCCGCTTGCTGACCTTCCACACAGCCTGAAGTATGAAGCCCAAAAAGAGGATCAGAAGTCTTATAAACCCTAAAAAAGATCTGTACTATCAACTGGAGATAGCCCTACTGATTACAAGGTCATTTATTTAGAAGGCACAGGAGAAGGGCTTCTTCCGGAACAGAGCTGTTTCATCGGCTGTACCGCTTGGAAAACCCACCCATCATTCGACACCTGATAAGTAAAATCATTCGTTGCAGTGCAGCTGCACGGCGTGGCGGGGAATTGTGAGGGCACAACGCTGAGCTAGTTAATCGTGTCTGAGCTGCAGTAATGCTTCAGCAGAATCACGGGCTCCTCTGTGCTGGCACGGTAGGATTTTCCATTCCCAAGTACTGGCAGCTCATAGCTCTCTTGTCATGGTGTTTACCCACTGACCTGGCTCTGGCCCAGACCCCCAGCTTCTCCTGCTGTGTTGTGTGGGTAACCCACGCTCCACAGACGTCAACCTGTGATGGTTGTGACAGGAGGGCAGTAAACGCAGTGTCTGTTTATTCTTCCGCGTTGTGGTCACTGTAGAGAGAAAGCTGCAGGAAGGCATCTCGTGTCACAGGATCCCTGAAGAAAACATTGCTCAGCTAGTCGACTTTTTTTTTTTAAACAGACCTGCAATTATCTTTGCAGCGTAGTAATTATGGATTTTGTGGTTTATCGCTAGGATTGGAATTATGGTTAAAAATGATAAATCCCTGGGAAGCAAGGAATTGTTTGTTTGTTTTTTGCAAGGCAGAAACAAAAGATGCTCCTGGACGGACGAGGAATTCTAGATTCTTTTAAAATGTCGAATGTCTTGCCTGTCAAAACGTGTACGTCTCGCCACAGTCTCCACCATCTCCTAGCCTGGAGACCTGAGGCTCTGTCCTTAGTTTTGGTTACAAGCCACGTCCAGCAGGATGTCTTTATAATGTGGCCCCTTCCAGATACAAATCCACAGCTGGATCCATCTGCTAGGATTTCAAATTGGTTACCCTACAGTAATTGTCAAGTCAGATTCTGTGCCAACTTAAATAGACGAAGTTCCAGATTCCAGCTGGATCCTCTAGAATAAATACTCATTAATTCATAGCTTTTCACAGACGCAAACCTACACTATATACGTACACCCACAGCGTACGTTCACAGTAAATACATTTTGTCTTAACGTCTTAGTGCAGGTCATGTGTCTGCTTTTCTGTCTGCCGACTACTGGATTTCCAACAACAAAAAATCATTTGATAAAAAAAAGAACCCGGCCACACTTTGAATCAGAGAGGATGTCTGCCCTGCGCGCTCTGGCGGCGGGACGGGCTCTTGCGTCGGGGCCAGGACAGGCACTGGCAGCGCACCTGGAGCCCAGTGGCAGGAGGGGATGAGACAGGGCAGGGGGACACACCTGCAGCCCCGCCTAGCAGCTGCCCAGGTGAACCCTGATCACGCCCTGGCTGTGCAGCCTCAGCAGCTGCTCGAACTCCGCCGGCATGGCGTGGAAGCTTTTCTTGGACTGCTGGTCGTCGTAGTAGTGGTTGGTGAGGTGCTGCTTGCTGAAGGGGTGCAGGGAGAAAGGCCAGAAGCCGTAGAGTGTGACGCTGGCGCAGAGCTCCAGGGCCAGGCTGGCCACGATCAGCCCCGTGCTCAGCCTCACGGTCCGCAGCCCGTGCGCCTTCCAGAACCGGGCCAGGTTCTGCAGGTACTCGGGGTTGAGGAAGACGGCCCGCACGGGGCTGTTGAAGTCCTGCAGGGTGTAGACCGCCCGGAGAGACACGGGGGTGTTGTGCCCGTACGAGAACGCGGGTAGCGCCAGCATCGGCTGCCCATAGTCGCCCAGGCTCTCCACGAACGGGCGCCGGAGCTCCATCAGCCCCTCGAACCTGCAGGAGAGGAAGAGGCGCCGTCAGGCCCAGTTTCCCGGCGGCTGGTGAAAATAATAGAGGTTTCCACGGCGCCCAACGGGAGGGCGCGAACCCGGCGCCGTTCCTTCGGGATCGGCAGGGAAACACAAATCAGGAGACAGCCCTGGGAATGCTTTTTTTATACTGCGAGGTAGGAAAGAATCTGTCACGCCCTCTGCAGCCAGAGGGCGCTCCTTCTCTGTCCTGTCCCTAGTTTCCGGTCTGCTGTCCTTCCTGTCCCTCTCTTTCCTTTGGGCTATATATTTCCGGGTCTTGCACTCTGTCCTTGCTCAGCATTGACGTTTGGATGTCCTGAGACCCGCCTAGCACCAGGGCGCCCCACGTCCGCTCCCTGAGGGCATAGGTTTCTATACGGCATTCCTGAACTCTTTGCACTAATGAGCCCGGGCCTTTTTCCCGTCTCGCCGCTACGCATATGGGTCTTTTTCCGCTCTCCTGCTCCCCACGGTTAGTCCCTTTGGACGTCCGTGACAGAATCGTTGTTGCTGAGCGCATCTCAAACCGCAAAATGTACACAGCAACGTGTGAAACCTCCCATTTCCACCACAAAATAGACGACATCACGCTGGAACGCTGTGCGGGGAACTGTCTGCTGCTGGGGATTGCTCCTACATCAGCCATCGCAGAGACTAGTGAGCAGGAAGGGCCGCACCGCGTCGCGATTCGCACAGACCCTCGTTGGACCGCGGGTGGGGCAAACCGAGACCATACAGTACTTTCACAAAGGTCCCGATTTTGTGCAGGATTCAGAATTTTGCACAATTTTGCGATGCCACCAGTGAATTCATTCTGTTACCGAGATGTAATAACCGGTCTGAGAAATTGGGACTGCAGTTGCCCTTTAAGGGATTCATGCATTAAAGAGTGCGAGCCTGTGACACCACTTTATGTGGACAAGCTACCCAGACATGCTGTTGACACTGATGCCCCGGGCCGTCTCAGGAAAATGGATGGACGAGATACTTGAATCAATTATCGTCTGACACCCAACCAGGCGAACAGACAATCCAAATGGCCTTTTCTGTAGACTCTTTCTTCTTCCTCTTCCCTTTCAGGAGCTGGTCGGCCTTTCAGCATCGGGGCCAAGAAACCTAATTTGGATCCTTGAATACAAAACATCCCTGCTAGACAAAAAAAGAAATGAAAGGTTCCCTTGCTCTGTCCACTGACGTTTTATTCGTGTGCAGTGCTACAGAACCATTAATCTCTGGAAAGAAGGGCTCGGCTCTGATGATGTCGGCCTGAAATATTCAGGCCTCTGCTCATTATGTGCAACTCTGAAGAAAAAGTCCCACTCCTGACCGTTTAACTAGTGTGGCCTTCTCCTGTCAGCAGCCCAGCTGAACTGGGGCTCCAGTTAATGACTAGCAGGAGCAGTGATTTGCTCTTTAAACGAGATGAGCTTGACAGCACTTAGAAAGACCAGCCCTCAGCTCACCTTTCCAGCAGGATGCTGGGATTGGCCGTCACCAGGTCTGTCTTGTTGCCCACATCGTCCTGATACTTCCTGTCCACAGGAGGCAGGTTACATCTGTGCAGAGATCCCATCAGGTCACGCACACCAATTTAGCAGAGAACAACAACAAAAAAAGAGAAACACAAAGAGGAATGTACAGGCTTCCATACAAACAGAGAGACACAAAAATCACATTTCTGTGCAAAATGTTCTCAAACAAATTCGTCCTAGGGCATCACCCTGTCTGTTGGCAACCCACTGAAGCTCAGCAGGTGTGAGCCTGGCCAGTACCTCCTCTGAAAGCTAAGGCTGCTTCTGGAAGAGGTGTTAGTGGGGCCAGTAGGGGGCACTCATCCTGCGGTCTGTGTGGGTCCTAATGCCCCAGTGTAGTGACGGGGACACTATCCTGTAAAAAGGTACCATCCTTCGGATGTTATATAGGATGTGTGAGGTCCTGACTCTTAGCGTTCATTAAAAATCCCAGGGCATATCTCTAAAAGAGTGTTACTCTGGTGTCCTGTCCAGATTTCCTTTCTTGCCTTTTCCAATCATGGCCTCCTCATAATCCCATCTCTGAACTGGCTTCATCACTCTGCTCTCCTCCCCACTGAGAGCTGGTGTGTGGGAAACGTTCTGGCGTGTCGTCCAGGTGGGGCTGCACACTGGTGCTGGTGGAGGGGAGTCCCCACCCAGACAAACGTGAGATTAACCCCATCGCACCATCATCCCTCCCACTCTTTCTGTATCTCACCCCACCTAATGACGAACTGGGCGCCGTCGATCTCCTCTCCACAGCTGCTGTTGGCAAGAATCCCCCCGTTCCCCACCACCGCACAGGACTGGAAGCTCACGTTCCCAAAGGGATGCTCCTGGAAGAGTGGGGAACGGCACCCAGTCACACACACTGCAGTGCGACGTGGCAGGCTGGGAAAGTCTCTGACATCACAGTGCCAGGGGACTGCCCCGAAGCTCAAGCCCAGTTCCCCCACACCAGCCTGCCCACTGTCTAGACATGAGTGCAGCTGACCTGTGACACACCTGCTAGGAGGCAGGCCTTCTCCCAGAGAGCAACAGTCAGCCTTGCAGTGGGCAGCACTGTGCAGATGTGCTGGATGTGCCTTCCAAAACGTAGTTCATTGTCAATGGTCATCGCCGTGTTAAATACAAGCCATTCGACGATTTTTTTTAAATTCCAGCTTTCTAAACACTTTACTCAACTGTCTGCAGACTGCTGGAGCAGAAAGATCCTTTTAGTCAGGTTGATTTGTATATATATGGTACAGAAGGCTTTAAGCATGAACTCCTTCTTGTTCTCAGTATTGTACATTTTCAGTGAAGGATTCCACTGCATCTCTCTTCCACGTTTACACAAGGACTAAACAATAGTACACAATAGCTGTACACAATCCCCCTCCTGTCCTGAGACAACAGGAGCCCACCTTGGGGAAGGTGCTGTACAGCTTGGGGGTGACCTCGACGGGCTTCCTCCTCTCGCCATCGTACGTGACCTTTGACCCCAGCAAGGTGTTGGCCTGGGTGATGATGGCCCTGGAGAAGCCCTGGCACTTCATATTGAGCTGTGCCCTGGAAGGGAAACACAATCAGCACGGAGAACGCACCCGGTCAGCAAAGCAGGACGACAACATGTGTTTAATATGTTTCCAAATTCACTTCAGCACTGTGATTGAAATCCCAGGGGCTGCATACAGAAAACTTTTGACTGCTAGGTTAAATGACCATCTCATGCTTTTCTGGGTGAGAAAACAACACCAATAAGTGTCAAAACATTTTCAGAGTGCTGATTTAAGAGTTGCTAAAACAGGTTTGAGTACATCTTATACATTATGCAAACTTAGTGGCTCTTGCCTACTTGACAAAATGTGTTGCAAGTTTAAAAGCAAAACTATTGTATGAATAACAGCGCATAAGACAACTGGCTGAAAAGGTTGATTTACCCATTTTAATCATTAAATTAACATCTTGTCTTATAACTTCAATGCAATGTGGTAGAGAGACCTACGATCTTTTGACCTAATTGGCAAACGAGATTTTTTTTAAAGTTTGAATTACACAATAAAGACCTTGGATGTCATTTGAAAATTGCCCTTTTACCTGAAAGTCTGCAGTCTGCTTTCCTGTTTCCGCCATGTCTGAGAGTGTACCTGCGCAAGCTTGTCAATATTGGCCTTTTCCCTGAACACACACACAAGAGAGACAGAGACGGCCTGAGCACAGAAGACACAGGTAGCTCAGAACTTCCCAGTATACCTCCACACAAAACAGCTCCCAGAGCATGCAGGGATGCACAAACTTCCTTCAGTGACAATAATGCCTAACTCAAATTCATTTTTTGACCAGGAACAGACAGTGTCTATTGGAGCAGGGATACCACTGACTCCCTTGTCTGGCCCTCCGCAGCCCCTCACTCGCACAAAATCTCCACCCCTGATTCCTGATCCTTCCTCACCTCATCCTCAGCTCCTGGTCCCCTCCCTGCACCTCTCTCCAACCCGACCCGCTCCTTCTCTCCCTCTCTGTCACCCCCTATGCCTCTGCACATCCAGAACTGTGCTGCTCGGGAACATATTACACCTGTGCGGGCACCCCTGCACAGGCTGCCCGTGAGCTTTAGAATTGACTAGAAGATTTTGCTTGCTGTTGACCTTTCCATGTGTTCACGCTACTGCCCCATGCTATCGTAAACGACTGCTTGCTCCAGCTCCAGACTTTCAGGTCTACTTCCCAATTTAAACCTTGTGTCCCAGGGATTAAGCTGTCTTCTGTTCTGACGCCCCCCATTCTCTGGAATGACCTGCCCTATAATATAAGGGCCGCCCAGTCCTTGGCAGCTTTGAAATCAAGAGCAAAAACATACAGTATCTGTACAAGAAAGCTTTTGCTCTTCCCTTCTTTTACCTTGTTGTATTGTTTTGTATATAATTATAAATTAATGATATTGTCCGATTTTATTCTGTATTTTATTAATTGGGATGATATATTCTATTGTACTGTACAGTTTAAAGACTGAAATTATTATTATTATTATTATTATTATTATCATCCCCCTCTGCCCTTGGCCTTTATGGCTTTGGCTACTATTACTCTCTGAATTGAGAGTTACTATACCTGCCTCTCTGTCTGTGTTGTCCCTGCCAGCTTACCTGACAGCAAACTCCCTTTTATTTTTCTTTACTCCCCCTGACTGCCATTCCCCTGCCCCCCCCCGCACACACACCTGCATTCCTTGCACTGTGTGGCCGCCTGCTTCCCCGCCACCAGCTTTAAAGCGCCCCTCGCCGCCTCGCTCCTGCAGGGACACACAAGCACAGGCTCAGCACAGGCCAGGGCACCAGCTCTGGGGGCTCACGATGAGCCCCGGATGTCCTTGGTTCTCCTTTACCGAGCTGTCGCAGAGCCGCCCAGTGTGTGCCCGTGGGTTCGCCTGGCATCTCTGCCCTGCTGGGCTCTGGCTTGACTGAACTCCCATGATGCCTTCCTGCCTGGCCTTTTTTACTGGGGCCTTGGCGTGACTGTCATGGCAGAGCGTGGAGGACTTACCTGTTGCTCAGGGTGGACCAGAGGCTCGTCACCATGATCCCCACGATGACCAGGCACAGCGTCAAGGAAAAGAGCAACATCAGCAGTGCCTTCCTCATCCCTCTCCGTCCCGGTCGCTCCTCCTCCTCCTCTCGCGCGCGCTCTGTAAGATCTGCTCCTCTCCCCCACCCCGGCACCCCTCTGCTCTCCTGTGCTTCTCCCTGCCTCTCTCTACACCTCCACTCCGGACCTCCTGCCTTCCCTGACCGTCTTACCCTGCATACCCCCAATTTTCTGCCCACTCTCTCCTCTCCTCCTCTCTCTCTCCCGTCTCTCTCTCCCAAGTCTGCAGCGAGCCTGTTTCTTTCCTCTCTGCACTCTGAAAATTTCAGAAATGCCTCCTTGTGCTTTTTCAAATAACCCCCCTCCTCTCTCTCTCTGCCTCTTGAGCAGAGAATTCAGCACAGCTGCTAGCTGGAGTCGCCTAGGACTGAATTAGCTCCTGTTCTGTCCCGGGAGCTGTGAAGGGGGGTACCCGGGGGCTGAAATGGGGGGATGGGACTATCTGTGGACTCGGTTCATGTGAAGGCAGCCTTGGACAACCAATCAGGGTCCGCCGGGGACCCGGGTGGACGTGTGTGTGTGTATGTGTGTGTGGAATCCGACGGCAGCCGCTGGAAACCAATCCCATCGCCCGGCGCCCCCTCCTCTCCGCGTTTCTCACCGGATTCCTCCTGAACTTTCTTTCCCACACAAACTAAATGGGGAAACGTCAACAGGAGAAAACAAACAAACACTTAAGTTGTACAAAAGCCTCTTCCCCAATCTTCCTGCCAACCCCCGGGGACCTGCGGCTGTAGCCTCGTGTTTCACTCGTCTTTTCAGACGCGATCCTGCGAACTGTCCTCTTCTGCAAACCCCCGGCAGCTGCGATTTCTAAGGAGATATCGTTTCGCGGTGTCTGATCTGCAAGCAGACAGGCGACATGAGAACAGGAGTTGCTCTCTGTCTAAGTCCTCTTCACTCGAGCTCTTCGGGTTGTGTATAAAGGCTGCTGCCCACAGGTGCTGGTCAACCAGAAACCGCACGGGCGTTAGTCCGGTTTACGCCTGATCGGGTATTTCTGACGGTGCAATCCGGACACGAGCCTTCTCCCGGAATAACGTGCAGTTTCGAGCAGCGGCTACTTCTCTGGAAGTGGCTGAAAGAGCCGGCCTGGTTAACGGGTCCCGGCAGGCGCGCAGCTGCAGAAATGTCTGATCCGGTCCCAGGAGGGCGATGATCTCCGAGGCATCGCCGACAAACACCGGCGCACTTCCGTAGCGCTGCTCCAGACCTGTCACGCCGGCAGGCGCGGCCTTCAAAGGAGCCGGGAGAGGGGATTAGACGGCTTTCCTTCTTCCGCTGCCTCGGTCTCCGGCGGCGCTGCACAGAGCTGGGAGTTAACCCTTCCTCCCCCCCGCCCCCCTTCGAGGGCAGCTGGGCGCGCAGGATCGGGGGTCTGCCGCGCACTCCTTTTCCGACATGAACGCGCGGTTTGCTGTGCGGTTGTGTTGTGCCGGCGCACAGGTTCTGTTCTCGCCTGCCGTCACTTCGGACAGTTCAGATCATCTCCACACAATCTTCATTAGATTATCTGCCCTGACTGGGGACAGGACAGCCTGCTCTGAGCTCTGTGGATCACTTGTCTCCGTGTTTTCGACAGATCACGCACGTTTTAGCGAGTGTGGAGTGGGACATACAGAGTATATACTGCATGGACATATTTGTTCCTATATTTATACAGAAATGGCGCACAGTGGTTAGCCTCGCTGGGTTGAGTTCCCGGGGTGCTGTCTGTGTGGAGTTTGGATGTTCTCCCTGTGTTTGAGTGTCAGCTCCAGTCTCCTCCCACAGTCCCCTCCTCCTGCAGTGCCCAGACGTGCTGCCAGGGTCACTGGCTTCTGGGAAAACTGGCCCTGGTGTGTTCGTGTGGGTGTGTGAGTCTGTCTGCCCTGCGAAGGACTGGCGTCCCAGCCAGAGCGTAGCCCACCTTGCGCCTGCTGCTGGCCAGGATAGACTCGGGCTCCCCCTCAGCCCTGAACTGGATAAAGCAGTTTGACAAAGGCCAAGGCTCGTGCCAAACATGAACATGATTATGTTTGAGTCTAGGCATCTCTGTCGGTGTGTGTGTGTGTTAGTGAGAGGAAGAACTGAATCTTTCCCAACTCCTTTAGCACAGGTGGAACGCAGTGATGCATAGTTCCAGTGCACACAGAACCACCTGTCTGGGCTGACTGTTGAGTACCGTCTGCAAGGGAAGCCGGTTATTGTACCCCGACACACAGCCCCCTCTGGACTCGTGTAACTAACACTGCACCCCCTGGACCTCACGGGGTTGGCCAGAGGGGGCGTGGCTGAGGCCTGGCTGGGCTGCTCTGTGTGGGCAATACGAGAAAAGGCCCCAAAAAAAGGCAATTCTAACCTGTCAGGGGGCCGAATAATGTGAAGGAAACCACCCAGAGCACTCAGACAGCGTGTCACAAGGGAAACAAATCCAAACCTTAAAGACATGAAGAGGTCTCTACAACTAACTGCGATCGAATAAACGAATGCTGGAGTATGGTAGTGGGTTTTAAGACTGGATTCAAAAGCACTCTCTGATTTGCAAAATCCCATATGGGCTGGGAGGTCATTCTATAGCGTCTGAGCAACACGTGCTGCCCCGCTTGTCCAAACGCAATCAAATACCCTCCGCTTCCTCCTTACCTCTATGAGGAGTCACGCGAATCCTGTATGCCAGCGAATTTATCATTTTGCGTCTCGTACTGTATCTGTCACGAGGGAGTAGAGCACTCGTCCGCAACAACAGACCTGATCTGTACAGTGCGGTGATTGTTCAGCCTTGGCTGGAGGGACAGGGTTATTGGAGGAGAGCGCCTCATTTGTCTCCGTGTCCTCGCTTGACCCCCTCAGTTTATCTGGGGGGCAGCTCTGCAGAGGCTGTGCTTATTTAACACGACACACAGGTGGGTCGTGAGGTTTTTCCCAGCCAATCGATCTTAGAATTTCACCCCGCTGTTTCGTGAGGGCACCCCAGGGTTTTGGCTTCTTCGATGTTCCATGCTACCACCACTCTCTGTGTAAAGAAGAGCCTCGGAATCTAAGGTGTGAATGCGCTCCCACTTAGTTTCCACTTGTGTCCCCTGGTGTGGGGTTCACAGCTTGTTGTGATGAAGTCCGCTGTGTTGCCCTTATCTGTGCCTTTGAGGATTTTCAATACTCTGATCGAGTCCTCCTTCAGCCTCCTCTGTTCTTCACTAATAAGTTGATTTCATTTAGCCTTCCACTGCTAGAAATGGCTTTAAACCTGGGGATGTTTGGCTCCTGTTTCACGTTTGCAAAGCAGCGCTGTAATTTGTTGTGACCAGACCTGTGCACCATGATCTAAACAAGGTCTTAACACAACATACTTTTAACATAACAGAACACCATCATTTTAAGTAGGCGTCAAAACAATCTACACTTCTAACTACAAAGCCCAAAGTCATGCCTTCCTCCATGTTGTCTAACTGAGCACTGGAGGGAGGTCTCATTTCTCTCTGGACACCTCCCACACACCCCGGGGTGACCCAGACCCCCCCTCCATCCCCCTCTCAGCAGCTCCTAAATAGGTCAGGCAGCTCCGCAGCAGCTTCTGGATGTGAAGAGTCTTATGTGGAGCAGCTGACTGGGCCCTGTTCCTTCAGCCTGGAGCAGGGGGCCAGAGTGAGGACACGACAGCCCAGGAGCAGGAAGAGAGTCACTGACGAGGGCGTCCCGCTGGCCCCTGCCTCCCCAGCTCCCCTCTCACCCGGCCCAAGCGTGCCCCGGTGTCGCCTCGGGGTGGCTTGGAATAAGTGGCACTTTGCGGCCCCCTTTTTTCGCCCCGTTTAGAAATGTTGAAAACCTGCATCATTCCCCTCCCCAGCTCGCTGTCTCCTCCGGGGCTGGCCAAGATGAATTCCCCTCACCTCATCCTCAGAGCACATGTGCTCGAACTGTGGAATGAGGTTTGTTGTTCTTTCCTGAGCCATTGCCAGGGGTTCTTTATCATCTGTGTGCACTGCGGAGACCAGGCGTTTCGAATGCAGTCCAGCTGGAGCTGGGGTAGGGGGCAGAAATCGTATTGACTGGTATCAGTCGCCTTTCTGTGGAGCCAAGCACCCTGCTGGTCTGTTTTTATGGGAACACCTGATCTTCAGTGATGAGGAGCACAGAAAACCTGAGAACCTGTTTTCCAAAAAGCGAGGACGCCTGTCCCGTTCATCTCCTGCAGAGTGAATGCCCTGTCCTGCGCTGTTTATACTGGCTCATTTTACAGGCAGTGATTACCAGTAATCTAATCTGATTGCACATGATGATCGTAGCGCAGGAAAAGCCATTATCGAGGGCCGACAACTGGGCGCATCATGATTGCTGATTGGCTTCTACCGAAACCAGAACCTTACGAAACCCCTTCGGAAAAGGAGCCCAGACTCATCAGCCCTTGGAACCCAGATTGGTACCATATCCAAAAACTGAGGCCTCACAGATCGCGAAAGTTGTTCGCAAACAATCAGTAAAGGGCATGTGTTTGTTCGTTTTTAAGTGAGTAGAAGGCAATAATGAAATAAGGAACACAATGTCTCCTCAGCTGGGGAAGCGAGAGAGCGATCCTGTACGAACCCTTACCTTTCACTCTCGAATCCAGGGGGTCTTCTCCTGGACTGCAGCTGCTTCCCAAGATCTGCTCCTGCACCCCTGATCAAACATCACTGACGCAGGGGAGCTCTTGAAACGTAAGATACGTTCTAACTACAGAATGAAAGAGAGAGAGAGTTATTGATCTGAATTTTGCAGTAAAATTAAGAATGCATCTAAAAATTGCACACTTTTTTTAGTTTACCATAAAGTACTCGATGATGGTTTGATGAAACAAAGTAGCAGCCTCTATGTGCCTGTGCTGAATTTGTGTTTTTGAAGATTTAACTTCTAAAACAGTCCGTCGTGTCCCACACTGCCAGAGGCAGGTTCTGAACTACTGCCTGAAGGCCTGCAATGATCCGTTTGTACTCCTGTGGAGACTAAAATGGTATGCAGCACTGTGCTCAGCTGCAAGGGCGCCATCTGCTGGCCAAACAGAACAAACGTCTTCAAATATCCTTTTGGATATCTATCAAAACAGGTGATTTGTTAAGGCAATTTAGAGATTTAAGAGTTAAATCTCACTGATCTTCATCCCACAAAGAGCTCTTTTAATTGAACAGTCTGCTCTTAATTGCTTTAGTCAGTATCTTACAGGTGTTGCCAAATGTTACACAGGAGACCTGTATGACTGGAGAACCCTGCCCTAGGTTAATCACCTCATCTGTTTCCATCTCTCCTACCACCATCCGGCATCTCATCCAGGTTGTAGACTTATCTTGCATGATGCTCCTCATCAACACCCTTCAAAAACAAAAGCAGCAGTACATGACAGTTCTTTTGTCATTTACCACGGTGAGCTGTTGAGCTCAATTTATTAGATCTTGAGAGGATGGTTCTCACTCACTGCTGTAGGCTGCTGTGGGTGACCTGAAAATCCACGATAAAGAGACTGAGTAGGACAGTGAAGGTAGCCAGGAAAGTGCACAATGGCTACAGCTAACAGACGTCTATACCAAATTGCACAGAAGGCAAGTCTGATCACTGGTTGTCATGACCTCCTCTTGCAGACTGAGCTTCAGCTACCTCCATCTGGGCATCAATCTGAACTACCCAGTTAATTTATACCTTTATCTCACTATCGACCTGCTTCATTTGGATATCATTTTACTTCAATTTGGCCATCATGCATTTTATAGATCCACTTCACACACAAGGCACAACCCCAGATCCTTAGAAATCAAGTCTTAAAGCTGCCCCCCCCACCACATCTCACACACACACACTGCATGTTAATGGGTTCATGTTGTGTTACATTACGTATCATATTATTAATTTTGCCTGCCTGAAGAGCCTATTACCCATCTAGGACAAAGTTCATTGTTCACCAGGTGACACGTGTGAGCCATTGTTGTGCTGTTTAATACGAAACATAATACGTGGTGTCGAACAACCAACCAACCAGAAATCTGAATCATTTACTCTTTTAAATGTGATCGAGTCTTACACGTTTGACAGATGTATCCCAACTGGAACAGGTTAGGGAAAAAAAAAGATGCACCAAGTGATAAGTGCACTGCCAATGGACAAATGTGATCAGATCAATGAACTGCCTTCCCACCAACAAAATAAAAGCTTTAACTTGCATCCCAGTGACCCAGGCACCCATTTCATTTTGATTCAAGCAGAGAACCAGCGCTGAAGGAACGCAACACCTAGTAAATCCTGTATGTATGATCACTCACCACAAGGGGGAGACAAATCCCCACAACCAAAATCGGCCTAAATTTCACAACCGCAGGGCCCTAGAGCAAGTCGCCAAAAACCCCTTGCCGCCTACAGATGACTGCTCCCTGTGAGGTTCTGGCCAAGAAGGAGACTCGGGAGGCAACGATCTTCCTGTACACTTTATTAAAGGGTAAAGATGGGGGACAAGGTTCACTTCTTGGTCTCCTCTTCCTTGGACAGAGTCTTGATGATCTCCTCCTTCTTGGCCTGGAGCCTCTCCTCACGGCGCTTGCGGGCCTCCTTGGTCTTGGAGCGCCGGGCCTCTGCCTGGTCACTGCAGAGGGGAGAGAGGGTTCAGGGTCGGGCAGGAAAGGACAGCATGCGCTAATAATACTCCTTCGACTTTGTATGCAGGTCAACATCCTGTGTGCTTCACATACAGGAGGGTTAAGTCCACTACATCCACCACTAAAGGTGTGGCAGCCAACATG